AAGACCCTGACTTTTTTTTTTTTTTTGAAAGAAACAAAATTTATATTAAATTGGTCTTCGTGCTTTTAAAAAAGCAAGGTCTTTTACATTCTCTTTGCAATTAAACTTATTTTTAAGTTTTTAGAAACCTTAGAATTTAATGGTTCTCAGAAAATTTGAGGTCAGTGTTCTTTGCATGTTCGTTGATCAATTTTATCATTACATCATGGTAGCTGGCTGTTTTGTTTTGTTTTGACAGGTAGAGTGGACAGTGAGAGAGAGAAAGGTCTTCCTTTTTTCCGTTGGTTCACTCCCCCAATGGCCGCTGCGGCCAGCACACCGTGCCATTCCGAAGCCTGGAGCCAGATGCTTCTCCTGGTCTCCCATGCGGGTGCAGGGCCCAAGCACTTGGGCCATCCTCCACTGCACTCCTGGGCCACAGCAGAGAGCTGGACTGGAAGAGGGGCAACCGGGACAGAATCCGGCGCCCCGACCGGGACTAGAACCCGGGGTGCCGGCGCCGCAGGCGGACGATTAGCCTAGTGAGCCGCGGCGCCAGCCAAAGAAGACCCTGACTCTTTACTACAACAGTACCCCCTCCCACTTCTACCAAGGCTTCTCTTGCACCTCTTCTGGGACCCTCCCCTTGGCTAACCTCACCCAGACCACAGGTGACAGGTAGCACATGGGCTTACAGCTCTGACTTGTAATCTGTGCATTCTCGTCCCAGTCCCAGTTCTCAGCCCATCTGGACTTGCGCTGAGTATCAGCCCCACCTTTCACTGCATGCGTGACCTTTGACAGGTCATTTTGGCAGGTGAAGATGAAATGGCATGGAGGTGCAGAAATGCCCAGCGTGGAAGCTGGCACATGGGACGTTCCTAGGAGAGAAGGAGCAGGGGGAAGAGCCGCCCCGAAGCTGACCCCTAATTCTACAGAGACCCATTGGTGTGTCCGGCCTCTACGCAGCATTCAGTTCTTGTGAAAAAGCCTCCTGCCACTGCCCCCACCATTAATCCTTTCACTCAAAGCTTGAGCTTTGGAGCCAGAGACGTCGGATTACAACCCTGGCTCCACCACTTAACGCTGGTATGACCTTGGGCAAGTGACTTCTTCCTCTTTGAGGCCCAGTGTCTCACCTATAAATGATGAGTGGGTTACCTGCTCCGCAGAGTGTTGGGAGCATGAAGTGAGATCTGACAACGTGAAGTGTCTAGCACATAGTCAAGGTTCAGAAAGGTTCCGTATTTTTCTCGAGTAACAGTGATACTGACACAAGGCCTGGTAGTTTCCAACTGCGTGCTCATTAAAGTCCCGCTTCCCTGACCCAGCATACTGTGCCCCCACCATTCCCCCCTGCTGCTTCCCGACATGGATGCTGCACTCACACCAGATGTGGCTTTGTCACCTCTGTGTCTCCACCCACGATCTTCTGCTGCGCTCAGACTGCTCTCCCACACCTCTCACCTGTCACTGCCCTGCCCACTCGAGCCTCACTTCCCGGCTAAGCCACAGCCCCCTCTGCTGCTCTAGGCTTCCAGTGCCCAGGATCTGTTAGTGTCAGGGAGAGCTCTGTCTGCACCTGTCTTCCCCACTGTTCTCGTGTTCCAGGGATCACACAGGGACTTGACCCTTCTCTCCAGCATGGGCATGTGGCTCAGGCCTTGGGCAAAGTCACCGTGACTAATTAAGACATGAACATTTGACCAAAGCTGGGCCAATAGGAATCATCCCTGGAACTCTGTGGGAATCATTGCTTCCCCACAGGCATCGCTGAGCTGAAGCAGTGTGAATTCAGAGCTGCTTCTAGCCTACCTGTCACCTTCAGGAGTGAAATGGGCTTAAAATGAATCATGCAGAGGAGCCAGGAAGTAGAGAGAGAGGAGTTCTTCCTGGCACTGTATGAGCATCTGGACGCATCCACGCCTGGAGTCAGATACTCTTGATTTTCAAGATATGCGAGGCAATACGCCTTAAACTCTTTTTATCTTATTCAAATGTATGTAAGCCTTTTTTGGGTGGATTTCTGTCACTTGTCATTGAAAGGCTCGGGCCAATATAGTGGCCTGACTAGATGGCCAGCTTCCTGAGAGCAGGGATCGCATTGGGAAGACCGAAGATCCTTGATGGCAGGAATGATGATCTTGTATATCTCTGTTCTGTAGTACCACGCACAGGGATGATCACAGAACAGTGAGAAATAAAAAAGATACGTATATCTTTATAATTTTCTAGTGATTTTGTGCTCTGCATTCACACAAGTTTGCAGGAACAGGAGTCATGTGGTAGGCATCTAATCTTGTCAGACACAAACCGGCTCTTTGCTCATGTTTCTCTGATCTGACTTATCTCTCCCTTTTGGAATGCAATGGTTTTGCTCAAAGAGTTGTTCTAGGAGCCAGGGAGAACTTTCAGGATACTTTACATAAACTAATCTAACTGCCTCCAGTCCTCCATCGTACAGTTGAGAAAACTGAGACCGAAATAAACAAGACCTGCTTACCACTGTATGGCAAGTCACAGGAAGAGCTGGCCAAGAACACTTAACCCATGATTCATAGTTCAGTGCCCTGGCCCTGTCCTGGTGAGCCTTTATTAAGCAAAGTGAGCCCGTCACTACCTGGAGAAGCCACATACCTGTGGGCAAAGTGGAATAAACTGCTCGACTCCACCAAGTGCCCATTGGCCCCCAGGGGTGGGGCAGGAAAACAGGAGAAAGTGCCCTGGGACAGGCATTGAGCATTAGGCCCAATTTACTCCTTGCTAGCCTTGTGACTTTGAGTAAGCCCCTCACCTTTCTAAAAATGAGGGGCAGGGCGGACTTTGAAGAAGTAGATCACTAAGATCCTCAAAATTCTAGAATCCTATGGCGGTTGTTCGACGGCTCAACAAATCCCCCAGATTAAACCCACATGGATTAAAAAAAAAAAAAAAACCCACATGGATTACAGAGAATTTAAAGTCTACAGTCAGCAGCCCATCTGTGAACTCCAAGTTACTGTGTATGAATTAGGGGCTGGGCACACAGTCCTTCCAGCTTGCCCTTGGAAGAAAGGAAATACACAACATCAGTTCTCTGGGTACCACTGAGAAATACACAGAGAAAGACTTCCCACAGCTCACGATTCTGCTTCCTCACTCTCATCAAAGACACATCTAAGTTGATTTGAGTAAGATGGATTTGAACAAGCCCATTAGGATGTCTGGATCTGCAATCTGAATATAAGATGAATATATCTGTGTACACACTGTCTTTTTTTTTTTTTTTTTTTTTTTTGAGTCATTTTAAGTGCTGGTTTGAGTCTTGGCTGTTCTACCTCTGATCCAGCTCCTTGCTAATGCACCTGGGAAACCACTGGAGGATGGCCCAGATGCTTGGGCCCCTGACACCCATGTGGAAGACCTGGATGGAGTCTGGGCCCCTGGCTTCAACCTGGACCAGCCCACATCATTGAGGACATTTGGAGAGTGAACCAGCTAAAGAAAGATTTCTTCTCTCTCTCTCTCTCTCTCTCTCTCTCTCTCTCTCTGTCTCTGTCTCTCTTTTTCTCACCCTCTCTCACTCTCTCCCACCCTTCTTCCCTTCCTCATTCCACCCCCATCACACTGCTTTTCAAATAAGTAAATATTTTTAAAAGGTTCCTTATTAAAAGTTTTTATAAGTTATAAAAAAAAACAAAAAAAAGAAAAAAAAACAAAAAAAAAAGTTTTTATAAGTTAAAAAACAGAAATAAAGGTTATTTTAGCAGTTGGGACAGTTCTTCCAACGAGGCAATGTTTTCTGCATGCATCTGCAAAAGTCCTCTTGGGAACACGGACCTGCCTCTCACCTTTATCATCCTCCCCGGTTGTCATCCACCCCTCTTACTATCTACCCTCGGTCCTGAATGACTTCTCATCATTGCTGAAAATCACATTTCTCCCTTAAAATATGGAAGTTTCTTCTCAGTGAAGATGTTCAAAAGCTCCAAAGCCAACTTCCTACAGTGCGTGGAGCAGGATTATCAGCAGGTGACAGAACATGTCTCCCAGGGGTCTCGCTGGAAGAGGCAAACACCTGTTGGATGTTCTGCTTTTTTAAAAAAGTCTTTGCTGCATAATCATCACATTTTCTGTTCTTTCTCTCCCTGAAGGACTTGGAACACCTTCCCAGCCTTCGCCAGCCCTCCTCCCCCATTTCTGCCTTCCCCTGGCCCCACTTTCCCCAGCCCAACTCTCCTCCCTGCTGCAATTAGGCAAACGCCCAAGTTGCTGAGTCTTGTAAATCCTTCTTCGATCGAAAGGTGGGCAGAGGCAGGGGATGTTAATGGATCCTGGAGAACAGTCTCAGCACTTCTCATTCCCAAAAGACTCCGCTCAGGTTCCCAGGGCATGACGACTGTCTTCCCCAGACATCTCAGAGGAGCCCAGAGGCCCATTCCCAGAACTCTTCCTGAATCGGCAGGTCCTGGGGTGTGCTCTTTCCTCTAGAGACCATGTTGGCAGGCCTGTCAATCATCCACATCTCAAACCTTGGATACACACTACCAATAGCCTCCTCCCCAAGCCCATCAGAGTGTGTTAAAGTTTATGATATACAGTCTCTCATTTCTGCTGTTGGAGTCCTCTCCACAAAGCTTTGCAAATGAGAAAACCAAACCTCAGAGACGAAAAAAAAGTGCAGCCCTCAAGTTGGTAATGTAGCGTGTTAAAAGTCCCAGCTGGATGGCTAAATTGCCTGTCTCTCCCTTTTTCAATACAACTGAAAACCACTACACCTAGAGCAACCCTTAACACAGCCCACAGAGCCCCTTTGATATGCTAGCCTGGTGCTAACCCATCTGCAAATGCAGTGTACCCATGTCCCAGAATGCAGACCAACCTCCTGGCCCTAAGACTGCACCTGCCCCAAGGTGTCTCTCACTGAATCCCCTCCCCAGTGGCTGCTGGTGACCCCATCAAGAAGGTGAGGGTCTTACATGGGACAGCAGGGGGCCCCTCCAAGAGGGAGCTTGGGGGTCCCGCCCCCGCCCCTCCCCTACCTGCCAAGAGCTGCATCCAGGCGCAAATCTTGTAGACCGTGGCGGTGTTGCAGAAGAAGAAGAGCGCGAAGCAGGTGATGCAGCCCAGGATCAGCACCATGGAGAGCAGCACGAAGAAGGCAGCGGCCTTGAAGGCGCCGGACGGGATGGTGCTGAAGTCGGTGAAGGAGCCGCGGCAGGTGAGCTCGCGGCCCGCCAGCCCGCTGCCCACGCAGTAGTGGAAGAGGCCGAAGTAGCCAGGCTTGGGGGTGCTCACGCTGTCGCCCACCCAGTAGGGCTGGATGAAGACCACCACGTTGATGATGGCGAAGCAGATGGTGAAGATGGCCCAGAGCACGCCGATGGCCCGCGAGTTCCGCATGTAGTGCTCGTGGTAGAGCTTGGAGGCCTCCTGCGAGGGCAGCATGGTGCCGGGGGCGGGGCCGGCGGCGGGGGCTGGGGACACGCGAGAGCCGCCTGAGTCCCCGGGCCGCGGGCGCGAGGCCCGGGGCGGGCTCGGAGGGGTCGTGCGGGCGTCGGAGCTGCGTCGGGGGCACCGGCGAAGACCTCCCGGCGGGGGCCTAGGAAGGGGCCATGGGGAAGTTGGGGGGCTGGGAAGGGGACACGGGAGCTGGGAGAGGGGCTTGGGGCTGGAATTGAGCGGCCGGTGGGAACCGTGGGCAGGCGGGATTGGAGGATCAGCAGGGGGGCCGCATCCAAGGAGCTCGGAAGGGGGCTGGGGGCTGGGATTCAGGGGGTAGGGGTCTGGAATTGGGGTTCTGGAGACGGACTATGGAGGGGTGGTCGCTTCTGTGAGGGGAAGAGGGGCTCCAGGGGCTGGGGCTAGCGGATTAGGAAGGGGATGCTGGGGCCGTGGCAGGGAACGGGGCTGGTAGGAGGTCCAGGAGGGCAAAGCTGCGGAAACAGGAGCCGGCTAGAGAGGCTTCGGGAGCTGACTGCAGGGTCTGGGCACGGGGCGGGGGTGGGGGTGCGCCTGGGTGCCAGGGCTGGATGCAGGCAGGAAGCAGCCTGGGGTTGGCGGGCCCAGGCTGGGGCGAGGGGCTTCCCAGGCCCAGGGAACAAGGACCACCGCCGGCGGCAGGCAGGGGCCGTCCCGGGGACGCCCGGCAGCAGCCGGGCCCCGGTAGGGCCGAGGTGGGGGGGCGCCACCCCGCGCCGAGGCCGGACGCGCGCGGAGGCCGCGGCCGCGGGGAGAGGGTGCGGGGCGACCAACCTGGGCCCGGCGCGGGCGGCGGGTCCGGGACTGGCACGGCCTAGGCGCCGCGGCTCGGTGCTCCCAGCAGTGGCTGCCTGGGCCCAGGCGGCGGCCTCTGCGCGGCCTCCATCTTGCTCGGGTTCTCCCCGGAGCGCGTTCCCGCGCCCAGGCGCGCTCACTCGGGCACCGGCGCGGCCCGGTGGAGGCGCGCGCCCGCGCGGGCAGGCAGGGCGGGCGGCACGGGGGAGGAGCGCTGCTGGTTCTGGCAACGGAGGATGGAGGAGGCACGGTCCCCTGGGTGCGCCACAGGGGAAGCAAGCCCTCTCCCCGGTTGGACCCCCGGTTTCGGAGACACCCTTCCTCCAGCTCGAGCGCGGGGCTGTGGGTCCCCACAAATCCCGCGCGAACGCGAGAGGCGCCCCTCGGGTACCCCTTGCTGGGGCTGGAATCGGATGTCTCACTCCCGAATTAACACCCCCACCCTCCGACCCCGCACTGTCTCAGCGCCTGAAGTCGCGCCATTGCGCTTCCCGAGCTTTGCGTCTTGGAGGCGTCGAAGGCTCCCGGTCTCCTAGGAAACTGCCAGCACCCCTGGGAGAGGGAACCCCCGAAACCGCCAGCAGCCGACACCTGAAACAGGAACTCCTTGGCCGCTGCTAGCAGCTGGGCCTGGGCGGCAGGAGCCAGGGTGAGTACCAGGGTTGGAGAGGACCGGGCTGGGGACGCGTTGGCTTCCCTCCCCTCACTCTCCTCAGCCCCCAGCCCAGAGCCTGGCGTGAAGTGGGCACGGCCCAAAGATGTGTCAAAGAGCAGAGCAGCAGAGGCTCAGGGCTTGGGTGGAGAACGTGGGGGCGTTGCTTTCCCGGCTGCAAAACCACCTTTGGCTTAGGACCTGTGAGGATGGTGGGGTTGGAACCCAGAAAAACCGCGAGTGAGGCTGAGCATCCCTGGGACCCGGCACTTGCAGCCTCTGCACCTGTCTCCTCACTGGAAACCTGGGCGGATTCAGGCCCAGTTCAGAGGCACACGTGTGTGTGGGTCAGCGAGTCCCCAGCACTAGACCCCACACTGACGTCTGTGGAAATGTACCACTACCTTAAAAAAAGACATCCTCGCTTTTTTCCGAGGGGAGGGGACTGCTCTTTTTTTCCTGAGATTGTGTGTGTACTTCGTACTTTCTTAGAGTAAAAATCCATCTCTTTTTAAAAATGGTGGTGATGGTTAATGGATTTTTTCCTAATGTGCCAAAATAATTATTTCAGTTTCCAGTTTCCAAAAAAAATTATAGGTTCATGAAATCCCACAGTTTGGGGCCTCAGATCCATGTGATGTCTCTCACCCAGGGCCTGGGCACAGGGTGCTTCGTGAATTTGGTCTCTCCTTCTGCTGGTTCCTAGAGGAGTGCTGCCTGACTACGGAGAGCTCATGGATCCTGCACTTCTGAGTTCAAGGGCTGTGCAGGCCTATTCCACACCTTCCCCCTCTCGACAGCTGGGGGACAGAGGTGGGAGAAGGGGGCTGACTTACCCCGACAGGTGCATCCATCCTGTCCATCCGACTGACCAACCCAAAACGTGTGTGTGGCCCCTGCCATGTGCCAGCCAGCGACACCGTGCTAGGCACTGAGGAGAAAACAGTGAGTCCAACAGATACCGTCCCTTCCCTCTGGAGCTCACAGCATCCTGGGAGATGGAAGGTTCTGGGAGCAGGGGCCAGAGAAGTGGCTGTCCATGAAGAGCTCCAAGTCTCCTGCAGGGCCTCCTGGTGTGGAGCCTTGCTGAGCCTGCAGTCCCTCCCTACTCTTTATGGCTTACTCTGTCCCGAATTGGTGCCTTTTTTTCCTAGTCTGCTGTGTCACTAGGCAGCCCAACGGGGGCGGGGAGTCACTTACTACTCTTCCCTCAGGGCAGCATTCAGGCTAAGATGGGCCCCCAGGTTGTTTCCTGCTGTTGTCCTCTCGCTCTGGGCCCCAGGAGAGATCTGCCCACACCGCTTCAGACACAACAGGGGTTTGTCTGTGAACTCCCTGTCCCCTTTCAGTCTCTGGGGTCCTGCATTTGGTACACACGCCCATGCACACACCCCACAACTCCTCTCCAGAGGGCACAAGTGATCAGGCCTGAGAATACAAATGATGATTCGTGGCAGTTTGCAAGACAGAGTCTCTCCCTCCCTCCCTCCCCCTCTCTCCCTGCCTCCCTGTCTTGACCTGGGGAGATTGTAAGCTATGACTCATGGGTCCATCTTGGACACCCCAAGCTGAGAGCTTGTGGAGGAACAAGATCAACACAGAGGGAGGCTGGGCAATGGAGAGAGAATTCCGATGACATAGTTTGATCCCCTGGACTCATCCATGCCTGCATACCCACTTCTAGATTGTTCTGCGATGGTGAGCCAATACTTTCCAGTTTGGCTTAAGCCTGCTGGAGATGGGTTTTTGTCACTTCCAATAAGAACAGTCCTGAGTCACTTGCCTACCCTCCTCCAAAGGCGAGATGGGGCTGGTGTGCTGGCTTATTTACATTACAGAGGAACACCTGAGTAGGTGAGCGCCTCCTGCCATACAAAGGGCAAAAGGCCGGAGTGGAGGTCAAGGCCAGAGGCCATCCTGCCGCAGGTTAACTGTGTGACCCAGGACGATGGTGCTGCTCTTGACCGCCTTACTTCTTCATTTATAAACTGGGGAAAACAAACGCCCTTCTCACAGATGTTGTGAGCATGAAAAGAGATAATGGACAGAGAAGGGCTTTGTAAACTGAAAAAGGCTATAAATAACAGTGATTGTCATTAAATATTAACAACAAGTGACTTTATCCCAAGAGCAGAAATAGCAGTAGTACTGGAAAAGCTCCTGAGGAGCTCTGAGTAGCTGGGACAGGCTATGCCCTCCTTTTAAAGACCAGGAGCCGTTAGGGAAAGAAAACTGGAGAACTATCTGCAAGAAGAGCATCTTATTGACTCCGAAAGGGGCCAGAGCAGAAAGGAAGAGTCAGGGGGTCCCACTGGGGCCTGGAGACCACTGGGCAAGGATGGTGCTAGGCGGAGAGCCGGCCACTCCCTGCCAACAGATTAGTGGGGGAAGATTTGCACCTCGCTGGCTACCGTTAAGCCCAAGGTCAGTGCTCACCTGTGTCTAACAGTCAAGAAGCTCTTGCTGCATTCCAGAGCCCTGGTGCACGCTGCACACATGTGCTGTCTCCTCTGTCTTTGCAATGACTTGATGAAGTGGTGTTATGGCTGAACTGTGTCCCCCACAAAAATTATGTAAGTTGAATTCCTAATGGCCAGTGCCTCAGAAAGAGGCACTGTTTGGAGACAGGGCCATGAAAGAGGTGAGTCAAGGGAAAACCACTTTGGTGGACCCTAATCGAACACAACTGGTGTCCCTGAAGAAGAGATTAGGACACAGACCAAGGGACAACAGGCCTTGCAGGGACACATCAGGAAGACGGCTGTCCACAAGCCAGAAGAAGCCAAACTTGACATCACTTGACCTTGGACTTCTTGCCTCTGGACCTTTGAGAAAATTTCGTTATGGCAACCCAAGCGAACTAACACAGCAGGGCCCATTTCTTAGCTAAGGAGACTGAGGTCAGGTGATTGCCCAAAGCCGTACCTCTAGCAATGGACAGGGTGAAGACTTGTCCTCCCACAACTTGCTGCAATGCCCACAGTGTTAATTACCATGCCATACAAGTCATTCCATAGAGGGGACTCGATTTTTTTATAAAAGATTTTCTTACTTGTTTATTTGAAAGGCAAAGAGAGACACACAGAGGGATCTTCCATGCACTAGTTCACTCCCCAAGTACCTGAACAGCCCAGCTGGGCCAGAGTGAAGCCCGAACTCCATCCGGGTCTCCCCATGGGCAGCAGGGGCCCAAATACCTGAGTCATCTTCTGCTGCCTTCCCAGGCACATGACCATGAAGCTGAATCAGAAGTGGTATACTGGGGCCGGTAAAGCCACCACTTGTGATGCCGGAATCTCACGTGGGGTTCAAGTCCTGGATGGCTGCTCCACTGCTGATCCAGCTCCCTGCTAATGGCCTGGGAAAAGCAACTGAAGTTGGTCCAAGTGCCAAAGTGCTTGGGCCCCTGCAACCTACATAGGAGACCCAGAAGAAGCTCCTGGCTCCTGGCTTCAGCCTGGTCCAGCCCAGCCATTGAAGCCATCTTGGTAATGAACCAGTGGGTGGAAGATTCTCTCTCTCTAATTTATTCAAATAAGTCTTTTTTTTTTGTTCAAAGATTTATTTAGGCCGGCGCCGCGGCTCAATAGGCTAATCTTCCACCTAGCGGCGCCGGCACACTGGGTTCTAGTCCCGGCCGGGGCGCTGGATTCTGTCCCGGTTGCCCCCCTTCCAGGCCAGCTCTCTGCTGTGGCCAGGGAGTGCAGTGGAGGATGGCCCAAGTGTTTGGGCCCTGCACCCGCATGGGAGACCAGAAGAAGCACCTGGCTCCTGCCTTCGGATCAGCGCGGTGCACTGGCCGCAGCGCGCCGGCCGTGCGGCCATTGGAGGGTGAACCAACGGCAAAAGGAAGACCTTTCTCTCTGTCTCTCTCTCACTGTCCACTCTGCCTGTCAAAAAAAAAAAAAGATTTATTTATTTACTTGAAAGTCAGAGTTACACAGAGGGAAGGAGAGGCAGAGAGAGAGAGAGGTCTTCCGTCTGATGGTTCACTCCCCAGATGGCCCCAACGGCTGGAGCTGCACTAACCGGAAGCCAGAGAGTCAGGAGCTTCCTCTGGGTCTCCCACACGGGTGCAGGGGCCCAAGGACTTGGGCCATCTTCTACTGCTTTCCCAAGCCATAGCAGAGAGCTGGAGTGGAAGAGGAGCAGCCGGGACTAGAACTGGCGCCCATATGGGATGCCAGCGCTTCAGGCCAGGGTGTTAACCCGCTGTGCCACAGCACCGGCCCCTCAAATAAGTCTTAAAAAAAAAAAAAAAAAGAAAGAAAGAAAGAAAAGAAGTGGTGCACCCAGGACTCAAACTGGCACTCCAGATATATGATGCCAGTGTCACAAACAGCTGATTAACCCACTGTGCCACAATGCCAGCCCTAAGTGGATTCCATTTTTCTCTACTGCTTGTCTTCTTTTGGTGTTATTCTGATTTGGTTACAAACACATGCACTGGCATCAGGCCATCAGTTTGTGCATCATTTCTGCTCATTTTAAGCCTGTTTCCTCATCTGTAAA